GAGCATCCACGTGCATAAAACAAGCGACCAAACTAAGTTGGTTTTAATGTCGCTTAAACATTCACTGTTTCATTTATAATAGTGAGTGAGTGAGTATGGTTTTACGCCGCTTTTAGCAATATTCCAGCAATATCACGGCGGAGGACACCAGAAATGGGCTTCACACATTGTACCCATGTCGGGAATCGAACCCGGGTCTTCGGCGTGACGAGCGAACGCTTTAACCACTAGGCTACCCGATCGCCCCTCATTTATAATATAATTGTAAAGGGACAAAACCCTTTCCATAATCATAAGAAAATGTCGATGGTACGACTGTATCACAAGCACATTGTATGTGATGATAGCAGCAGTTGGTCAAAAGGTGCGCCTGTCCTCCCCCATGGGTTGTACCCCTCACAAACATAAAGAAAGTATATTGTCAACACTCCTAAAAAACAAAACATTGAGCCGAAATCTAGTCTCAAGTCTTTTTTTCAGTTTTGAAAGTTTTACTGAAACCTTGTTAAAAGTTCTTTTTCCTCATATCCTTTTATTTTTGAAGCAATCAATCCCCACAATCCGAACTAGCAAAAATACAGACTTAACCAAAGCAACTGAATGCACAAGGTAGCTGGAGAATGAGGTATAAAAGACAAAGTGTTGTTGCACGAATAAGAACGATCAACTGTCTCAAACAAGCAGCTTCACATTGACATAGCTACTCCCTGGTTGTGTACGGACAAGAGCCCTCAGTAGATATTTTATTATTTTACTGCACACAACAGCGTGTTATTCTGGGTGTCTTTTAACAAAGCGCACATAGAATATACTGGGAGTGTCTTAGTGGGGCTGTCTTCGTTTAACCTCATGCTATGACTCATCTTGGTGTGCAGCAGGTGTTTGAATTCTTCTGAAAGTTCCTATCACATAAGGGCGGTCGGGTAGCCTAGTGGTTAAAGCGTTCGCTCATCACGCCGAAGACCAGGGTTCGATCCCCGAAATGGGTACAATGTGTGAAGCCCATTCCTGGTGTCCCCCGCCGTGATATTGCTGGAATATTGCTAATACACGTGCACTGTACATTGAATAAAGATACAGCTGTTAACTCACACCTAAGTGACTACCGATAATTTACGAGCCGCGGTCATGTTGCTGAGTGCAGCGTTAACCAACCAACCAACCATACAACCAACCAACCAACCAACTGTTGGGAGCTAGAACTGTCACCGAACTGCGAAAAGACCGCATTTCTAAATAGTCAACGGGAGCTTCACAATCTGGTTTGGAGCCTGTCATTGTTCCTAATGAGTAATTTGATCAACATTATATGTTTTCATGTTGACCAATACCTTTATATTTTGAAGTGTATAAATATTCTGCTGCCGTGATACTAACACATCTTAGACCCTTTGGGAAACTGTTTAAATAATTTACATCGTTTCTATGTATCCATACAAATTATGCATATTTTACGAGTGTCTCTAAGACCGTGAATAAACGGCGGGTAAACATGTTTAGTGAAGTGAAGACAAGTTCATTTTTCGTCTCATAATTACAGTAACAGTAACCTTGTTTACGAAAAAGTTGTTGGGTACAGGTATCAATCCATCCATCAATGCGAACGACGAAACCCTTTTATAGCCACATGAAATACACGCTAAAAATTGTACGATTCTGACTGTGAGTTGGTCTGTGAATCACTATCACTAGTGATGATACCAGGTGTTTGCGAAAAGATGAGAGCATACTGCCTGACTAGTAGCATCCGTCACAAAAACACGCAAAGGCAAGTCAACCGTTTAAATGAAAAAGAACCATGTCTACCATAAAACTGCTCGACTGTACATCAAAAGTTGTGAAATGAAGACACCAAAGCCTGGAGCTATTGGAATATTGCTCGACATGAAGGGAAACTTGACTACAGTAAACTACGGTTATAACGAACTCAAAGGGCCCATAAATTTTAGTTCGTTATAACCGTAGTTCGTTATAAGCATATATACATCAGATGGCCGGGACCAAAAAACAGCTCGTGATATCCGCCAATTCGCTATAAGCGTGTTCGTTATAAACGTAGTTTACTGTATACCCATCCCTCGATCCAGCCTCCCATTCATCAATCGATCCATCCATCTGGTCCTCGACCAATCAATCCCACCCCTCAATTCATCAAACAAATCATGTGTATATTGATCTATATAGTAAACTATTGTCTTCTTTGAGAAGGATTTAGAAGTTGGAGTACTAAGTGAGGATACGATTTATGGATGAAGGAGCAACGTTTCGGTGTAGGTTCTAACACCGTTATCAAGCGAGTGATGTTGCTTGATAACGGTGTTAGAACCTACACCGAAACGTCGCTCTTAATTGTAATGAAGAAGTTGTTCATCCATATATCTTATCCTTAAACTATTGTCCACCTGAATTCTCCCATTGTTATTTGTGCAGCTTTACATACAGACTAACAGAGCTAATGCGTTAATCTCTTTGTTTGACAATAGTCTTACGCTGACACTGATAGAACACTTTACATTCCGGCTAACCACATATCCGCTATTATAAAGTGTATTTTGCTGTCATTTTGTGGGGGCGGTCGGGTAGCCTAGTGGTTAAAGCGTTCGCTCGTCACGCCGAAGACCCGGGTTCGATTCCCGACATGGGTACAATGTGTGAAGCCCATTTCTGGTGTCCCCCGCCGTGATATTACTGGAATATTGCTAAAAGCGGCGTAAAACCATACTCACTCACTCACTCACTCACTCACTGTCATTTTGTACCTCATATGCCGAGGATCTCGGCCTGAGCGTAATAAAGTTCTGTTCTGTTCTGTTCTGTTCTAAAGCGGTTGTGGGTTTGTACACTACGAAAGCGGAGACCAACCAACTCGTAAAATCCAGCACACTCCGCTAGTGACACATATAACATTCTCTGGAGCTGACATTTTATATTTGTACAAGACAGCATGGGAGAAGGTACTGATTATTGCAAGCCTATGTTTTGTGTCTATGTACTTTTGTTTCTTGTCGGCTGGGTAGTCTAGTGGTAAAAGCGTTCGCTCGTCGTGCCGATGGCTCGTGTTTGATTCCACGCATGGTATTTTGCTATCCCCGCTTTGATACTGGAATACTGCCATAAGCGGCGTAAAATTATACCCACTCGCTCTGTATCTTATCACATCATTATTAGTTTCACCAATTTCTTTCAAGTAATTTGTCAAATTGACAATAACATCCATAAGCCAACCGAATCAGAAACATGCAATCCTGGCCATGACACAATACAGAGCAGAAGCATACCATCAATTTGTAGCTTCTTCTCGTGTAACACATAGACGAGGCTCGACCTTCAATGAGCTTCGACAAGCTTCGGTGAGCATTTGGGGATTTCCGGGCACCTCAAAGAAGCTTCTGGGAGCTCCGAATATTTAGGGTGATCTTAGGGATTTCATGGGAAATTCGGTGAGCTCCTTGGAGCTTCAATGAGCTTCACTGGTACTGCTAAACCCAAAGTTATCGTCATGACAGTAGTTTAGGATTTTGTGATCTTTTTGTTGGCAAAGGACGTTAAAGTGTAAACCGTTAACGGGTATTGTTATCAAACTATTTTATTAAGGTTTTCGTCCCACAACTCCTTGCCTACACATACGACGTACCACGATTATAACATGGCCAGCTATATCGTGGTGAAGTATCTATCCAGAGTAAAAGTAATTGTTGTCCGCTAGGAGCTATACACAGTCCTAGAATCCTAGGACAACGGTTCCTGTGTTGTATTGCTCCACCTAGACAATGAGCACTACAAAGCGAAAATGACAATACGTTCAACCAGGACAGTGAACACAGGGTGGACAGTATTATCTTTCACACTAAATAATAGACATTAATAGGACATTGAAACCCGGAGTTTGGTTGCTCAGGAATGAGGGTCCGAGGACTAGATATCAATGTCCAATGTCATTGTGAACGAGGATGTACAGTCCGAGACAATGATTCCTGGCGTACTTTGTTCGCCGCACATTGAAAAAAGTGGATACTGGCTGCTTAGGAGTGATGGTCCGAGGACACTGTTCCCCAGATATCAATGTCCAGGACATTGTGAACGAGGATGTACAGTCCGAGGCAATGATTCCTGCACGGTGTGTTGTCCCCCTTACATTCACAGCAGTGGGCACTGGCATTTACGCTTCCGGTATTTATGATAAAGAGTGAGAGAGGGAGTGAATTGTGTTTAACGCCCCTTTGATTGTGCTGAAAGGCTGAGCAAGTAGCTTCAAATCGAACTCAAACCCAAATTCAACTCCTTAAAAATGCCTTTATATAAGTGTAATTTCAGATATTAATATATTTATATTTCGAAAAAAACCCTTTCCATGTGCATTCTGATGTATTAGAAATGCAGTCATATTTTTCTGCTTCCATCAACTTAATACGACAACGCAGGTCACAATAGAATCAGTGAAATCACCATGTTAAAAATGGATGACACTCGCGCATTGAAGTAAGTTAGATCATGCTATTAAGTGTCTCAGCTGAGTGCTCTCGTTCTTGGAGACATGGGTTTCTGGTAGGAATACCGTGGAACCGTGCTACATGTACTTCTTATTCTGACATATTTCGAGATAGTCTTACGAAAACGAATATTGGTTCTTGTTTTAGACCCAACAGCAATATTTTAACGAATATATTCAAATATTTCTTTGAAAGATTAATGTCCGTCATGTTTCTGAACATGAAGACACAAAAAGATAATGAAGGAAACCTCGCCTCAAATTGGTCAAGAAAGTAATGCAATTTGAGAAGCTGAGAAAACATGTATTTCCTCAAACACAGCATATCATATCCGCAACCATTTTACAAACACTCATTTGAATACAAAATTCATTTAACCGGGAAATTATTGATGAACAGAATCACAGGCTGACAAAACAGATCTTGACATATTTCGTGACATTCAGCCAGAAGCAATAAAGTGCGCACATTTCACATCAGCGTTTTAGAAATGTTAAAATTTATGCTCACCTATGTATAACTGTAGGATTAAAACCACGGCCGGTATGATCGCGCTAGACCCCAACCGAGTATTCCAATGTATTTCCATTGCGGCAGTTATAAGGTCCGCTACCTCATCCTTTCAGTGTCTTCTGCTATCCCGGAGCAGACGACAGTTAGCAGACGTGTTTCCTGATCGCCCGGGCAATATCACAGACGCTCATGCTGCTCCGAGTGTTTCTGCGCATATATCGATTATCCATGTTCCGGGTGGTCGTTGGGGAAGGGATATGTTGTTGAAAGCTGCGATATCATAGACTTTCATGTAGATTTGAAAGCAAATGAGTTTTTGCTTCAATAGAACGTGAAGTTAAATTGTCCCCGGGGAAAGGTCACGCGCGACTGTATTCAACCGGATATATTTTATTGATGTCAGGAAAAGATGAACGTGTGTTATCAGTAGGTCGGGTTTTATTACATTGGGTGGCAATGTATAGGCAGTTTTGGATTAGACAAACGAGTGTCTAGCGATATAGGCGTATGGCAGTGCCATCGGGGTTCGATCATACACAAACTCAGCCAGTCGGGCGCATTCCACTTTTCTACATATAATAATCAAAATTGACGAATTGATAGGCGTGCTCCTCGGGTACATATTAGACTGGAAACTAAAACATGGCAAGTAAATGTTTTAACACCCCGCAAGCAATGTTCTAGTTATACCACGGTGGTTAATATAAGCGACAAAGCCCTTTCAATGTTCATGAGAAATCTTTGTCAAAAACAGAGTCGATTGTACGATTCCGATTATATCATGTGTTTATGAATCACTATCAAACAGTGATGATACCAGGTGTTCGCGAAAAGGTGAACGTATCCTGCCCTACTGGAGGTGGCCTACACAAAAACATGCAAAGGCAAGTCAATTGTTTACCTGAAAAAAATCCACGGGAACATATTTTACAAGTCAAAATAGGGAATTGCTTTTTTGTCCCTGGTGTGTCAGATTTGGGAATGTTCTCGTGTCCTCATGTCTACCATAAAAAAATTAAAAGCTTTACTGAGGCCTTGAATGTTGTATTGTAATGTTGATCAAATAACTTCTGAGCCAGAGTTGCATGACGCTCTTTGAAATAATGGTAGAAAGAGCATGCTCGATTGTACCTCAGTTGTGAAATGTAGACACCAAGGGCCGGAGCTGCAGGTTTATTCCTCCACATAAAGGCAAACTGAATTTGGGCCAGTCGAACCAGTGGCTGACTTCTGTATTGAAGATGTACGCCGCCAGGGAACGACGACACGTTATTTGCCAGGTTATTATTCTGACTCCATATGGGGACCACTTAGTCCATGTTGTGTGCAGGCTTTTTCTCGTATCGTATCGGGGGTTGGGGGGTGGGGTGCGTGGGTGGCACGGGTGGCCCAGTCGTCTAAGGCGCCGCGATTCGCTGTGTAGAGTTGCGTCCCTTGGGCACGCCAGAAACCTATGATTGTGGGTTCGAATCCCGGTTCGCCCCGATTATGTTTCTAGATTTGTCAGCGCCATACCCGTGCTCGTGGGTTCCACCGAAGGGGAAACCGTCTGAGACCTGCATCACTTGGGGCTTTCCTCCCACATTAAGCTGACACGCCATGATATGACTGAATACTGTTAAAAACGGCGTTAAACCCGACTCACTCACTCGTATCGTATCGTGATTTTATGTATTTCTTTTGTATCTACGCATCGTCATAAAAAAAAAAAAAATCAAGTGAAATCAATTTGATAAATTTCTGTTGAAATAAGTATTGTTGTATTATAAAAATGGATATGACAGATAAATTTGCTTTTTTGGTACAAATTTACAACATTTCAAACATAGTAGGTGTCGGATGAGTGACGATTAAACAAACATTACAATTTTACAACTGTTCTTTTAATTTTCAGTTACATAAAAAAGAAACTCGGTATACTTTCTTTTGCGCCTCAGTTCAGAGATCAATTTCAGAAGACATTTATGTAAAATTATGTGGCTCCTCATATGCAATATGTCATGTGCTTAAAAAGGCTTTGGTGGAATCGGGATCTCATTATCACGTCAATATACATATATTAGCATATATTGGGAAAGTTGTTATATTTCCTCAGCGCCTTGGTTTCTAGGTTAAGCAGCGAAACATGTCATTCGCCAAGAATTTTTTTATCAACGAAAAATGGCATCGTCTATGTTTCCTTTTCAACGAAACATGTCATCCGTCAAAGTTCTATATTTCCTTTTCAACGAAACATGCCATTCGTCTGTTTCTTTTTCAACGAAACATGTCATCCGTCAAAGTTCTATTGTTCCTTTTCAACGAAACATGCCACTCATCCAGGTTTCAACCTATGCACTATGCCATGTGCTTCGAGCAAGCTTTGGTGGAGTCGAGAACTCATTAACACGTCGAGATAAAGAAAATATTTGGTAAAACTGTTGTTTCATTCGTCAAGGTGTCTTTATCAACGAAACATGTCATTCGTAAAGGTTTCCTTATCATCGAAACATGCTTTTCATATACGTTTCCTTTCCAACGAAACATTGTCATAAAGGTTTCCTTATCAACGACACGTGCTACTCATCTGGGTCTCCTTATCAGCGAAACCTGTCATTCGTTGAGGTTTCCTTATCAAGGAAACATATCAAGGAAACACATCACTCTTCAAGGTTTCCTTATCAACAAAACAAATAATATATGTAGTATTGATATGGTTCGAAAGGTAATCGGTGTAAGATGAGGCGCTGTTGCCTCAGTAACAAGGTCCGAGGCACGTAGCCTCAGATGACACAGACTCTTTCGCTGTTATTTGGCGTTACGTTGACGTCGAATATATTGAACGGTAGCGCTGCAGTACAAATACCCGAAGATTCCGGGGTAGAATAGGTCTTCAGCAACCCATGCTTGCCGTAAAAGGCGACCAACGGGATCGGGTGGTCAGGCTCACTGACTTGGTTGATGCATGTCATCAATACTAATTGCGTGAATCGATCCTCATGATATTAATCACTGGGTTGTCAAAACCAGACTCGATTATTTACAGACTGCCGTCATATAGCTGGAATATTGCTGAGTGCGGCGTTAAACAACAAACCAAACCAAAAAACATATATGAAGTTGAAGCTTGCCACTGCGGGATACCCACGGCCCAGTTGTATGAGGCTGTGCCAGAATCCTGTGATCGTGGGTTCGAATCCCAAATTCACCCTGATTACGGTTCTGTGTTTGTCATCTCATGCGTAGGTGATACACGTCTATAAGCCCACCCGCCGTGGAATAGCTGAAATAGTTTAAACCCATCTCACTCACCATCAGATGTTGTTGTGTTATACATGAGAATTCGCCAAACGAATATTTGTTTAAAGCCGTAGATAAATATAAAACGTCACGCCAGAGAACAATCAGTATCGATCACCTCCCGAAAAAGTTTCCAAAAAGGCAAAACAGTGGTTAAAACCACATGAATGGATCACTAAAAATCAATTTCTTAAAAATGCCGTTTTATAGTGCTAGCCCCCTGAGATACCATGCTGCAATTTATCGTGTGTCCCCAACACATGTACAGTACATTGGATACTGAATCGGGGCCGGCCCGACCAATCCTTGTTGTATCCCGATAATGCCGAACGCAAGGCAGGTTACACAAGTACTATCTTTTAACAAGTACTATCTTTTAACAAGTACTATCTTTTAACAAGTACTATCTTTTAAAGTATTTTGTTATGAGGCGGCCAGTTGATCGAAACACTGACCCTCCAGTCTCCGGGCAGACGCTCAACCACGGAGGCGGTCTCCTAGCAAAATAGACTACTCACCAAGATTGAGATAGGCAAAAGAATCTGACACATTTCCTTATTGTCTTTTGGGACAATGCATTGTTAAATTCATAAAATGCATACGTCGATCGGGCGAAATCTTGGTCATATGAGCAGTCCTGTTTTTCTCTTGATTACCATTTGATGCTTTTCTGCCGTTACCAACGACTCATCTGGCCCAATGATCCTATCATTGATTGTTGTACATAGTTTTACCTTGTCCTTCGGAAGTTAACTCGAAAGAAAAACAACGTAAAGCATCAGTTGCTACTGCCTACTAATGAGAAGGACTGGTTGATGACAACACAGGAATCTTCATCTTCCCCAAAGGAGCTCTGTGTCATAGTGGAGACACAAACTGAATAATCGTTAAATTCTTTGAGGGAGGCAACTAAACATTGTTAACTGAACGTGGATATTTGTTTCTGAAGCAACATTAGAACTGAAACAATTATGAAGTCTGAGGACAGGGATTTACTGAACATGTCGTTATACTTTGATGTAGCTTCCTTTACAGGGCTTGGTAAATCGGTGTATTGATTGGTTAGCAAGATCTATATATTCACACTTGGTGGTTCTTCTACGAAAGAGGAATATGGGGTTTTGTTGGTTGGTTGGTTGGTTGTTTAACGCCGCACTCAGCAATATTCCAGCTATATGGTCGGCGGTCTGTAAATAATCGAGACAGGATCAGACAATCCAGTGATTGACATCATGAGCATCGATCCACGCAATTGGGATTGATGACATGCATCAACCAAGTCAGCGAGCCTGACCACCCGATCCCGTTAGTCGCCTTTTACGGCAAACATGGGTTGCTGAAGACCTATTCTACCCCGGATCTTCACGGGTCAGGACTATGGGTGGGTTTGTGTTCCGCCGTCCGATGTGTAGTGCTGCACCCTTAGCTGTCAGTATGTTCAGATTGTAAATTCAAATGTCAGGTTTGTCCCGATTGTGACGCTTCGTCTGATAACACTGTATCCGTGATCGTGGGTTTCATTCGACTTCATGTTTTATTCAGAATTCAGCTGACCTGGCGTACGACTCATGCTCCAAAGTTGTTTGATCAAGGTTAAAACAGCCAAGGTCTCAGTAAAGCTATCGAAAAGTTTAATTGAAGCTGTGTGGAGGATATTTCCAAATCAGTGACGAAAATGATGTTCGATGCTCTTCCCAATTTTGACTTGTACCGTATGTTCCCGTGTTTTTTTTCAGGTGAACAATTGACTTGCCTTTGCGAGAGTTTGTGACGGGTGCCACCTGGTCGTGAGCCTTTTTGCCGTGTGGTCAACACTTCTCGGAGTGCTAAGAAGGATGCACAAAGGGATTCTCAGGCCGATTGGCGTGGATTGATGCGCATGATATCAATCACTGGATTGTCTGGTCCAGACTCAATTATTAACAGACCGCCGTCATATAGCTTGAATGTTGCTGAGTGTGGCGTTAAACAACAAACCAACCAACCAACCAATGGCATATCACTAAAAAAATTGACACAACTTTAAGAAAAATGTTATGTTATA